GTACCACAATGCGAGGTGGGGAACTAATGGGGTCCTTGATGAACAGCAACTCCTTATCCATGCAGATGTGAGGCCAGTGGTTGCGCAGGGCCTGCGCGGCTTCTGATGATCCTCTGAGGTCATCGACCGTCGGTCGGTGTCGACCCTTAAGTTGATGATCGTAAATCATAGCCGTGTCAGGATCGGTACTCTGTGCCACAGCCCAATGATCACGGGTGGGTTCGCTTATGTGAATCGAATTTACAGTCGCATTGAGTATCTGGGTGTCATCAGATGGCTCGGCAGAGCGTCGGGACAACGCATCAGCGTTAGTGTGTTAAGCCCCTAGTCGGTACTGGCATGAAAACGCAAATTGTTGCAGCGTCTCCTGCCACCTGGCTAACTGTCCTTTCGCATCTTTTGTAGTTTGTAACCATTGTAAAGCTTTGTGGTCCGTTCAGGCGATGAAGGGTTTACCAATCAAGAATGCACGGAACTGTTTCGCAAAAGTCATGAGAGCCAAAAGCTTGCGACGATATGTGGAATAGTTACGCCCCGTTTTCGACAACGTCTTACTGGCAAAGCATATTGGCCGCTCATTTCCAGTTGAATCGGCCTGCGATAATACTGCAACTATGGCGGATTTGCCGGCATCTGTATCAAGAATAAAATTTGGTGCATCGGCGTCCGTGTTTGGTAAAGTGAGTATAGGTGCGGATACCAGGAGAGCTTTCAGTTCATCAAAGGCACTTTGGCATTCGGTAGTCCAGCAAAACTTTCGACCTTTTTCTGTTAAGCGATGTAGTGGTTGTGCGATTGCGGCGAAGTGTCGGATAAATTTCCGACAATATGATGCCAGTCCAAGGAGACTGCGCACTTCGGTTACGGATTTAGGAGTGGGCCATGATTGTACCGCACTTATTTTATCAGGAGAAGCATTGATGCCTTCTCTACATATTTCATGGCCTAAGTATGTAACCTTATCATTTAAAAAGGTACACTTCTGCGGGCTGAGCCGCAGTCCCGCGTCGCGTAGGGCTGTTAACACTGCTAGCAAGTTCTCGTTGTGGTGTGCTATTGTGCGGCCGAACACAATTACATCGTCCAAATATACTAGACACTGCGTTGGTAGTAGGTGGGCCACTACGACAAGCATCAAACGTTGAAAAGTGGCCGGTGTATTGCGTAGCCCGAATGGCATCGTTACAAATTCGAATAGGCCTTGCGGAACC